TAGGAAAAGATGTGGAAAAATTCTAGGTTTTATTATATTAAAACACAGTGATATAGAATAGTTTCAAAAATTAATCAGTTTTTTTTTATTAATTATTATTTAGAATATCAAAAAGAATGGTTGCATATATCCTGTTCTCTAGCTATTTCTGAATAGTTTAGAAACATTTTTTTATCAGTAGTAAAGAGGTGATGAGAAATAGCAAATTTTGTATAAGATGTGCAATTTGTAGAAATGCATGCAAGCCAGTTAGTGACTGAAGTTATTATAACACCAGGATATTTCCTTTTATGTGAATGACATTTTGCCTACTACTTTCAAGACACCACAGATCAAATGACAGATTGGACTTGCTGGATGGTAAGCACAAAAGAAATGAACGATTAAACATGAATATTCTTGGAGCTGTTGTAGATATTCTAAGTATTATAGACTATGCATGGCTGAGAATAAAGTTTGATAGAGAGAATCAACAAAACAATTCATCACTGAAGTATACATGCTTCAATAAAAAATAATAATACTAAAAAACCAAACTAACAACCTTTTTCATTTGTACTCCCAAAAATCAAATTGGCCAAAATTCAGAGCTCAAATCTCCAGACAGACATTGAGTATTTTGGTTAGAGGACAGGCTGATAACTTACAAGACTACTGAAGTTTTGCAGGAATACAAATGCATGTCATTAAGATGGTTTGTAAGGGTAAGGTCTGCCCGTGTTCCAAAAAACCCTGTGGTTACTGCTGCCATATGAGCCCTAGTTTTAGGTACATAATACCACATTTATACAGTAGTGATGCACCATTACTTCTGTCAGAAAAGCTGCGCATCAAAGGCACTGTAGAACATTTGATTCAGAGTTTATTCCATTAGGAAACAAAATTTGGCATGAGAAAAATGGAAATGCAATGGAAACATCTTTTGGGAAAAACTTGAAGTCACTTTATGGCAAAGATGTATTTGCTAGCTTTTGAAAGTAAAAATTGCATTGGCAGCATATCAAAATGTTTACATCTGTGGAAAAGCTTTTAGCACAAAATTCTGTTCTTACTTGAACAAACTAAGGAAACCATAAGAATAGTAGGAAGTGAATGCTGACAACAGGTATTGCTGTAAGCATATTGTTTGGAATGCAGGACACAATCCATCTACTGGCATTAGGTTTTAGGTTATACCTTGTGAAGATTACTCACCTTAAAAAAAACAATGTCAACTAATGCTAATTCAATTTCTAGAGGTTTCATTTCAATTTTCTGATGCCATGACCATACAAAATACTTAACAGTCATCTGAATTCCCATCAGTTTTTTTGTTATTAATTGTGCTCCTACAGCTTTTCAGAAGGGCTAATTACATTCGGCTATGGATTCAACGACACATTGCTAGGGAATATTCTGTCTAACATCAGATATTTTAATCTGAAGTTTTAGGTTCTTGCTGGTTTGAATTTTGTCAGAAGCACTACACAAAGCACTTACACTCATCTTCCCCACTTTCGCTTCTACCTACTGGCCCAGCCGAAAGACAAGTGAAAAGTAAATGATCACTGTCTGAGCATGCAGTCAAGGCTTTGATACGGCATAGACTCACAGGTTTAGTCACCTGCATTAGCACAGAAAATATTACATGATTTCTCCTGTGGCATTAACTTCTTACATTTTTACCAAAATTTTATTATTTCTCTCTTGATGGGATTGAATTTTATGCTTCTGGCAAGATAAACGAGCATCGTTCCTTGCATACCAGTTGGAGACAGTAAGTAGGATCAACTGATTCCATATTAGTAGCCGCCTATTTAGAAAGGGCACAAAACCTAAGAAAAACTATTCTGTAACAGACATTTGAGCTGAAAAAAAAACCAGGAAGAACAAATCAGGAGCTATGAAAAATAAACACAGCTGAGAGATGATCTACAGACATTTGATGAGATGTACGATGACAGTTAAACTTACATTTTTACATTACTTACTTTGGAAAGGCACTACAGCCTCTACGGTTCTTTTAGGACATCCTGTCTACACAGAAGAGATTGTAAATATGCAAGTTTAACAGTGGAAACAAAGAAAGTATGCCAGTATATCAATTAAAGGAACAGATTCTACTACAACCATGGGGTAATTTCTATAAAATAACTTAATTTTAGATAAGTTTTTTGTTTTGTTTTGTTTTGTTTTTATTTTTGTTTCTGGTGAAGATGCACCATTTTGTCATCCTGGTAAACATATTTATTAATGACAAAGTAGTTTATCAGAACATTTGTAGCATAATTGGGCAGCACAGTTAATTACTAAGTATCTTGTGAATTTGCCTTGGGGCAATCTGGAAAGTTTTAACAACAGAATTATCCCATAGGCAACAAACTAAATGAATTAATTGTTGTGGTTATGGACCAAATAGCAGAATAAAATTCCAAAATATATTTCTCTTAAATATCCTTCTGTATGAAGGATGGAAATAGAGCATTAGTCTTCTTCCCACAGAAGAAGCCAGATTGCATAGTTCACACTCTAATGCCATCAGATAAATAATGTCATTATTTCATGAAGTACAGAAGTCATTGCCAAATGCCACAAAACAACAACAACAATAACAACAAAAACACAAAATAAGAATCCAAAAGGGTAATACCATTTCAGAAAAGCTCTTCAGGGGTGTTTTTGTTTACCTCTGCTCTGGAGAGAATTTTGTAGGAAGGCAAAACATGAAAAACAATTTAAATAAATTTAAAAAATCATTAATGCTGGCAAATAAAAGATTGGATTTCTGTATTAGATTTCCTGAGATAATGGAATTGATCTGTAAGATCCATAAGAAGATAGCATTTCTTTAGCAGCCATCATGGTAGTCTCTATTGCCTTGAAGAAATCCACCGGGAGGCCAAGAACAGGGGAGGAAGGCAAAGCTATGATGTCAGAGGAAGATGTGAAGAAATTTGCCCACCAGCATGAGAAAATGTTTTTCAGTTCCAAACCTAAGCAGCTTGTGCAATGATCTAATCCTCAGAAAGACAATTCTTCAGAAATCAGACAGGTTTTGTTATAGGCATTTACTTACATAGCAAACTGGCTTTTGTACAGCCCATAAATGCATTAGTATGAATACGGAGAATTTTGACTTGTCACTTCAGTTTCCTTTTTTTTTTTTTTTTTTTTAGGAACAATGGACTTTTTCAATACAAATAATTGCTCATGCTTATCTTGCAGATATATGCAATACAAAGATATGACCAAGTCCAGTCTTTAACTGGCATAACTAAATAATTTATTAGTGATTTATTATATTTAAATGACAAGAAACCTCACTTCAACCAAATTATACTCTGATTTGGCTTTGACAGGAATACCTGATTCTTGTGGGAGATCATGTTCTAGCATCAGCCATGGACTGAATTACTTGCTGAGTGATCCTGATAGAAAAGGGTGGTATGTGTAGTGGAAATTTCATTAATGGATACCGAAAGGTAAAATCAGAAAAGTCTCTTCAAGTGGACTTTTACTTTTGGGAGATTTCAGCTGGTTGTTATAAAATTATTCACATATTTAACCAATTAAAATGCATTAAAATGTATCAGTGCAAAAGTGAGAAGTGATGTTGCAATAAAACTGGACTTATTTTTTTAGAATGCTGTACAGAAAGGTTCCTCACTCCTACTCAGGTCAGGTGCGCTGTGATGAGAAGTGAGTCTTAAATGTGTAACAGATTGGAAGGACAAAGCTAATTAGTTATGTGAGCTAAGTATTTAAATATTATGAGAAATGCTAAGACCTTTGTTGACTTTGTACAAAGCAAGCCACCTAAAATTCAGGATGCTTAATTCAATTTATGTTACACTATTGATGACTATGAAATGGATTTTGAAGAGAATTTTTAATCTTCTTCTGTAAATGCAGAAAACATTGTGACATTTCCCACATGAAGTACAGATATAAGTAGAGATATACTTAGTGAATGCTGCAAGAGAAAACGTCTAATAAAAGAAAAAAAATCTGTATTTTTAAGAATTTAGGTTTTTACAGTAGCATTTAAAAATGGTGCCATCATTCTTCTTCGTTGGAATGGCTAGAATAATAAAAAGGAAAGCAACAGTTTCTTTTTATTTGACATTTCATACATTACTCTTACACCTGTGCACATATGCTGCATAAATACGTCTTATTATAACAAGGATTTCCTTCATTGTCATTGCAAATAAGAGAAAAAATAGATTTTACTTAACTAAAATTCCCAACTGGGTAACATTTATTTTGAAATAAAACAAAAATCCAGAATGGAAGAACTTTTTTGAATATTCACGTAAGTACAAATACATAAAGCACTGTTTGTAACATTCCTGTGATTATTCCCAGCTCTTTCTCATATGACCTTTAAGTATGAGTGTGTCAAAAAAAAGGATCAGTCTAAAGCTGCTGTTTAACAATATTAAATGGGTATTTTTTCATTGTGCATGAAATTCCACTTCTGTAGTACTACAAAATGATATCATGCCCTTTCAGAAGAGCTCTAAAGCACAGTGATACAAAGTGCCCTTCTGGGCTTTGATGACTTAGCAAATTCCTCTTTCTAGTAAAAAGAAACTGAAATACTCTGGAACCCTTATGCAGACAACAAACAGGCTTAAAATGTGTTTCTTTTGTGGGATTTAATAGATATTTAATTTATTCTCCCATCTACATCCCCATAAGACCATTTGATGATATTTATCAACATTTTCATTTTAGAGTTTATCTCTGGAATTTCAACTTACTAGAAATACAACTGATCCTTTAAAATCTCATTTAAAGCAATGCGCTGTTTGCTGGATCTAAATTTAGTATACATTTTACTTTCTTTTGATCCACACTAAAGATACCAGAAGTGGTGTAAAAGATGTAATTAAGGTACCATTAAATAGATTACCTACACTGATACTGCCCAAGGAACGAACTGGTAAACAAATTGAAGTCAATCAAGTAATTCAAAACAGTTATTCAGGTATATATTACATATATTTTATATTTACCTTCATTTTTCTTGATAGTAAAATTTGGATTGTTGACCATTTCAGGAAGAAGGCTATACAAGAAATAATGCCCATTTTTAGGATCATCTTTGTCAACAGCACTGACAATTTGAATTACCTATAACAGAAAACAGTTTCATAAATTCACACTCAATAAACATACAGTATTGCAAAGAACATTTCATTCTATAGGACATATTCTTGCTTCTTTACATGACAGACTAAAACTGCAAATGTATAAGCCTGCTAGGTTGTTAAAGGTGTTAGATTAAACATTTGGAAAATGGAGAGTAGATCTAGCCCATTACATTGTTTTTGGAAAGAGGAGGTAGAGAATAAGGGGAGATGGGTACATAAAAGGGGGCAGCAAGAACTGCTAAAGTTTAGGCAAGTAATAAATTATTATTCGTTAATAAAGAAGAGACAGAGAGTTTCAGAAACACTGTATTTGGAATTTTGAAGAAAACAGGATTTTTTTCCTTAATTTTAATAAAACCTCAAATATTATTATACTAGGAATGCAGGTGGATTTTTTTTTTTTAATAATATTATTATCAGCAAATGATTACCAGAATAATGCAGGATACTAAAGTTAGAAGAGGAATGAGTTTGGATAGGCTGAATACCTTTGAATAACTCTGTATGAAGTACCCTGTATGATTTATATGATCAACCACAGCATCTGCAGTGTATGTACCTCAACTATCTGCACCATCATTGACACTGTTCACCTCCAGCACTACTCAGAATGATACTGCAGTTGATCATCTTCAAATCATACAAGGCTGTATGGAAAAAGAAAAGATGAAAAAACATTTTAAGATAATCAGTAAAGTGTTTTGATATATGTATTTTAATATTATAGTGCAGATGCTTTTCATTCCATGTGATTTTCTATTGGAGTAGAAACAAAGAAAACTATGAATCTATATCCAGCATTCAGACATGAATTTCAGCGGTGGTTTGTTCATGCTAGATGGGGTTTATTAGACATTTAATGAGAATTATTGAACTTTGCCGTGTTTGTTGAGTTTAACAACATTTTTGTCTCATGTATTTATTTATGTAACGACTGAAGCCTTTTACCAATAATTCTTTGGACAATTAATTTCAAATTACAAAACAGTAGAAATATCATTTTAAAAGATTAGAACAGAAAAAGTAAACATATTAACATACTTCAGATCTTCAAAGCTTCACTAAAAAATGCTAATAATTAATATTTTATTTACTGCAAGAGGAATTATGACTGTCGACATGTATGTTACATATAAAATAGCACTCAGTATCACACTTTGTCTTCTATGTTCTTCAAGTATCAAAGAAAAAACAAAATCTTACTAGACAACCACAAGGACCAGCATCAAAACATAAATATTTAATATTATGTATGTAAAAATATTTGAGCAGGTTCTGATATAGGGATTCATAATGTGTAGGATATTCTAGGAAAATCCAAGCTGTGAATTCCTAGTGAATTCCTTCCTTGCCAAATAATACATTCTGGACAGGGCAGACTTATGATCAAAAAAGTATTGGAAAAAGTTTTTGATGGTTTAAATAACCCTTTTTTCTTTTTTTTCCTTTTTTTTCCTTTTTTTTCCTTTTTTTTTCCTTTTTTTTCCCTTTTTTTCCCTTTCTTTTCTTTTCTCTCTTTTCTTTTCTTTTCTTTTCTTTTCTTTTCTTTTCTTTTCTTTTCTTTTCT